TGTTTGATGGCCCAGCCATCGCAAATGTTTTGCATCTTTTTTGATGGGTTTTTTACATCACCGTTTGTGATTAATGCATCACACATAGTTTTGTCAAAGGGTCTCCGATCGTAGTGTCACGTTAGCAGCATCCTGCAGTAGTGCTTCGTCGGGCTCCCAATCTTCAGAGTTGCGTTTGATTCTTTCCAATAAATCCCATTTGAATTCAATAATCTTCTTCATAAAATAACTAGTACAAGAAGTATCGAGCATGGATTGATCATTACGAGAAAGCCTAGCATAAAAAATTTGAATAATAATTTCTCTTGAGAGCTCATGATTGGGGCATGAATATAACATTGACTTAAGCCTACCCCAATCTCGAGCGATACTTTCTCCTTCACGAGGCCAAAAATTATCAATATAATTCTGATCACGATGAACGAGATGCATAGGATAAAACTTCTGATGAAATTCCAATTTCAATCAGTTGTAGTTCCAAGTCTCAATATCATCGCATAGCCTATACCATATCAATGCCTTCTCCTTCAAATATAAAAGGAATACCTTATTCTTGACTTCATCCCCGGGCAAACTTGCAAGCTTAAATAATCCACAAACTTCATCCACATATATTAGATGCATATCAGGATGTAATGTTCCATCTCTTGCATCAGGATTAGCTAGCAATTTCTCTATCATACCCGAAGGAATTTCATAATAAATATTTTCAGTAGGTTCAGTAGCAACTTCTTGCTCTACTGGTCTAGGTGAAGATACCCTGAACAAGCCCCTCAAAGGATTATTTTCCATAGTTACAAGTGACAATAAATTTCAGCACGTAATATTAATGTTTCCTTACCAAATTCCACTTACCAAAGGCGCTTCACTCCCCGACAACGGCGCCAGAAAAAAGTATAGGGGATCTATCGTAGTCCTTTCGATAAGTAAGAGTATCAAACCCAACAAGGAGCAGAAGGAAATGACAAGCGGTTTTCAGTAAGGTATTCTCTGCAAGCACTAAAATTATCGGTGGCAGATAGTTTGATGATAAGATAATTCGTAATGGGTAACAAGTAACAAGTGTAACTAAGGTGCAGCAAGGTGGACGAATCCTTTTTTTTAGCAAAGAACAAGCCTGGACAAACTCTTATATAAAGCAAAGCACTCCCGAGGACACATGGGAACTGTCAAGCTAGTTTTCATCATGCTCATATGATTCACGTTCATTACTTTGATAATTTGATATGTGGGTGAACCAGTGCTTGGGTGTGATCCTTACTTGGACAAGCCTCCCACTTATGATTAACCATTCTCGCAAGCATCCGCAACTACGAAATAAGAATTAAGATAAATCAAACCATAGCATGAAACATGTGGATCCAAATCAGCCCCTTACGAAGCAAAGCTTAAACTAGGGTTTAAGCTTTTGCCACTCTAGGAACCCATGATCTACTTATTACTTCCCAATGCCTTCCCCTAGGCCCAAATCATGGTGAAGTGTCATGTAGTCGACGTTCACATAACACCACTAGAGGAATGACAACATACATCTCATCAAAATATCGAACGAATACCAAATTCACATGATTACTTATAACAAGACTTCTCCCATGTCCTCAGGAACAAACGTAACTACTCACAAAGCATATTCATGTTCATAATCAAAGGGGTATTGAATATCATTAAGGATCTGAACATATGATCTTCCACCGAATAAACCAACTAGCATCAACTACAAGGAGTAATCAACACTACTAGCAACCCATATGTACCTATCTAAGGTTTTGAGACAGAGACTGGATACAAGAGATGAACTAGGGTTTGAGAGGAGATCATGCTGGTGAAGATGTTAATGGAGATTGACCCCTCCGGGAGGGAAGTTTCCCCGGCAGAATAGCTCCGCCAGAGCCCTAGATTGCTTCTACCTAGGTTCCGCCTCGAGACGGCAGTGGTTCGTCCCGAAAGCTTCCTTCTGACTTTTTTTTAGGTCAAAAGACATCATATAGCAGAAGATGGGCACCAGAGACCTGCCAGGGGGCCCACAAGACATAGGGGCACGCCCAGGGGGTAGGGCGCGCCCCCAAGCTTGTGGCCTCCTGGTGGGTCCCCTCAGGTATTTTCTTCGCCTAATATTTTTTATATATTCCAAAATAATTCTTCGTAAATTTTCAGAACTTTTGGATTTGTGCAGAATAGGTCTATCAGATTTGCTCCTTTTCTAGTCCAGAATTCCAGCTGTCGGCATTCTCCCTCTTCATGTAAACCTTGTAAAATAAGAGAGAAAAGGCATAAGTATTGTACCAAAATAGGTAATAACAACCCATGATGCAATAAATATCAATATAAAAGCATGATGCAAAATGGACGTATCAAAGATCAAGTGAGAAGAAACCCAACCGTGCCGGGCTATCCAAGAGAGATGACGGTACAACAAGACGTGCTAATACCGCTGGTTGTACCATACAATGGCGTCTCCCCTGGCCAACTACGTCAACCATGTGTGATCAGATCTCAAAGATGATGAACACAGAGGCCACAACCACGAAACGAAAGCAAAACGCCTCATCTCCGGAGTCCCTATGCTAGCTGCTAGAGTCGATGTTGGCTGTTTCTTAGGGCGTGGACCTCCAAGATGCCATGTACATTCATGCCACCGCTTCCTCGATGACACACTCTTTAGCTCCGACTGAGTCGTGTCATCCACTTGACGACTCCCTTTAGGCGCATAGGTGGGGGTACGTTGGTTTAGGTTGTTTGGGAGTCATGGTCATTGTATATGTCTCTAGATTCGCTCTTTATACGACCAAGTTGCTTTGTGTCTTGCCTCGTTGCCTTTGAAGCCTTGACATATGTTGGACCAGGGGAGGCATCTTTGTGGTAGGCATGGTGGGTGTGGTTGCTAACCTCGGATTTTAGTGTTGTAATGGCCGAAAGGAGTTGTATCCGGCTTCTCTACCGCTTCTTCTTTAATGGATGATACAAATACTATCGTATTTGGCCATTTTAACTTGATATTCCTCTAAGTCAGTTGTTGCTTGTTTAGGTTTATGTCATTCTGTTTTGTCTTATTTTTATGTACTCTGTTTTTCTTTGAGGAACTTGCTTTTCCGAAGGAAGTGTTGAATCTCCCATTCACCCGTGGTCGATATATGATGCTACAGTTGGAGTTCTTTTGTGAGTTGCAAGTTGATCAGAGCATTCCGACCAACGGCTTGTTTGCGATGCCCATCCCTCTACCCCCTCTTGTTTGGGGTGTTGCCCGACATTTGTATGCTAAGTGTGCACCGAGTTTACCCTTCCTATGTATTGGTGGGCAATACTACAACCTGAGTGATACATATTCGTGCCTAACCATTCTTCTTGTTACTCTTGATGATTTTGCATCCTCTAGATGGTTAAGCGTTGTTTTGTGAGAATCCTACGTGTGGATTTGCCTAAGAACAAGTTTGCATGTTCCAAAAAGCATCACAAAATCTACCAAAAGTGTTGGTCGAGATATAAGGAACTTAACACAAGAAGAACAAGACGATATCTACTGTGACCTCAGAGTGTGCTCAGCCTTTCCAAGCAAGGCATAAAGGTGTCGCCAACAACTTGAACTTGATAAACAAATCATGTGTCTTCATCAGCCTTATAGTTCCGAATCCTTGTGCTTTACTTGTATGCACTACTGTTCACGAAGAATTTTGTTTTACATTGCTTGTGACTTAGCATTTTCTCGCTTTTTCCGTTCTGTTTACGATATCTGCTAAGTCCCGGCCTAATGCTTCGGTTACTACTTAAATACTTCTCTTGCATCTATGTATTGATGCATTTGTTTTCATCCTTACCTAGAGTTGTTATGCTTTCGCACTTTGCATCACTTTTCTAGTCCTCATTTGGTTGAAAACTCTTTTTTTGTTAAAAATTTAGGATCTCCTATTCACACTCCCCCCTCTAATCTTAAGCTTTCATCGATGGGTTTTTGATATTCCATCAAAATACAGTATGCATCGTTCCAAATTCACATAGTCGGTTCCGCCTTTAGACCGAGCGGGGAGCCCAATAGCTCCCTAATGGGAGTTTCCCAAAAATTATTAAAAAAAACTCCCGAATGGGCCTTATTACGGTTTTCAGAGATGCTAGTGTGCTTCGGCTGGACTGGTCCATCGACTTCATTCAGCCCATGCCTGAATGTCTCAAAAAAATAAAATAAAAAATCAGCCCATGCCTGATGCGAGTATCTCTCTAGCCGCCAGACCCAGGTTGGAGCCCCTTGCCGCAGCGCGCGCCGCCGCTCCTCGGCGCCCTCCCCTCCGCGGTTCCCGGCGGCTGCAGCGGATCCGGCGCCCTCATTGGCCATTTCCCTCCGCCTGATTCGGCTTGGGCGAAAGGCCAACCACATCCTAGCGCTTCGAGAGCTCGATCGATCCTTTTACCGAACAGAGCATTCCGTCCATTTTCGCAGGTAGTGTTGCCAAGTATATGTAACATTCCAACGCCAACCATGTACTGGATGCTTAACTGCTGTACTCGTTCCTAGTTAGGGTCCAAGCCTGTGCATATCTTAATGCTTTTAGCCTATCTTGAGCAAACTTATTATAGTTTCGTGTCTGTTTGCAGAAATGGGTCGATTCTCATGTTAGTGCCTGGCAGTAGCATTGGTGCCCTTGACTAGTTGACCAGGTGACGATGGGGAAGATATCACCATAGTGGTAACAAAAAGTTCATGCAGTTAAACTGGGGAGACTAAAGAGATGAAAGTGGCGAGACTGGAAACATGAAAATGGTGTTTGTGAAATATAAACTACTCACCTTACGACGTTAAAATAAACCTGCCACATTTCTGTAATAGGTTCCTGCAAATGCACACAACAATTCGCCTTTTGCATCTTATCTACTTATGCCTCTTAGCTTATAAATGCACACAACAATTCACCTTTTGCATCTTATCTACTTATGCCTATTAGCTTATAACGTCAACAGAGCTAACAAACAGTGTGCATAGCTCAAATATTTACATCAGTTTGCATTGCATGTCAATACGAATAGGCAGGATGGTCGTCTTCATCATCATATGACATGAGAGCCTTCAGAATCTCGTCCATCGTCGGCCTCTCGCATCTACCTCCAAGGCATGCAACAGCTATTCTCACTATTGCAGTTGCCTGCTCTAGATCGAAATTCCCCTTCAATCTGGCATCCACTAGATCAGTGATCCTCTCGGTAGCCAGAATCTGTTTGGCCTCCTGGATGAAGTCTGGAAACTCCACTTGTCTTCCGTCGACCATTATGCCACTTGAAACCCTAGCTCCAGTCACAATCTCCAGAAGCACAACTCCGTAGCTGTAAACATCGACCTTCGCATTGATCGGCGTATTCAATGCCCATTCTGGTGCCATGTAGCCCATTGTGCCCCTCATATGGGTGAAATTGAAGCTAGCGCTGTCTCGCTTCGCAAGCTTGGCTAGTCCGAAGTCTGCTATTTTGGCATCGAAATCTCGAGTTAGGAGTATGTTTTCTGGCTTCACGTCACAATGGACGATCCACTCGAGGCATTCATGATGTAGATAAGCAAGACCCCTTGCTGCACCCACGGCAATCTTGTACCTTTGGTTCCAACCGATCAGACTTTCAGTACTTCTCTCACCAAAGAGGTACTTGTCCAGTGACTCATTCTCCACATACTCGTATACTAATAATCTGTTTTTCCCTTCTGAGCAGAATCCCATCATCCTGACCAAATTTATGTGATTAATCCTTCCAATTAGAGTCACTTCTGCCCAGAATTCCTCTTCTCCCTGTTGGACATTTGTAAGTTTCTTTACTGCAACTATTTTCTTATCTTCAAGTACTCCTCTGTAAACAATTCCAGCACCCCCTCTCCCAATCTCTTCTTTGAACTTTCCAGTTGCTTCCCTCAATTCTCTGTATGTAAACCGCCTGAACTGGTTTGTTATCATCTTGTATCCATCCTCCATTGATTTGGGCATGTTACTCTTTCTGAAAAAAAGACACCATCCTGTCACAATAACAAGCAACTCTAGAAATCCCAGTATTGCACCAAAGACATACAAGTATATCCACTTTATGTTGTCCTTCTTTATTCCATACATGTTTGCTGATCCTATCATAATCTCTGAACCACTGGGTCTGCAGGTTAGGCTTTCTTGTTTGGAGATTGAGGATGCTGAACCATTGAAACTCTTTGGTACTTTCATGTAGTTGTCTCCTGGGAAGTACGGGTACACCTGACTGTTGTAGAGTATGTTTTTAGTATAACACCAACCATCCCCACCCTTGTATGTGAAAGATATACATGAGCTGCTGTTGAGGCAAATGTCCCAACATGCTTCAAATGAGATGGATTGATTAGAGCCCAGATCAAAGCCATAGAAGTCTGCATGAGGTTGCTTAACAAATGTAAAGTTCTCATGTGGTTGATTGCTACCAATTGTGAATGTCGGTTTGCATCCCTTGTTCCAGTCTGTTGGATCAACCATCACATATTCTGGAGGGCATCTACATTTAAGGCCTTCTGAGTAGTCACAAAGCCCATTCTTGCCGCATAATCCGTGCACATAGCACATCTGTATTACAGCCTGCCCTGTAACCACCCATTTCCTTGCTGACGCGTCCAAGCTGTACATTCTAAAATTGCCATCATGATCAATTGTAATCCTCCTCTTGATCCCAGGGCCTGAATCTGAAGCCACTATTTTAAACCCATCACTTGACACAAAATTACCCTTGTCGTCCAGAAATGCGACCCTGGTGCTGTTATATCTATTGCGTCCATTTTTTTGTGCATCATAATCTGGACTTGGCCAGTAGATGCTTGTAATATCTGGGCCATCATACAACAGGCGCAAGACATTGTCGTTGTCAAAATAGAGGTGATGGTAACCAGAGACTAACCTTATGTCTTTCTTGAGTTTCTGCCAAGGGAGCAAGGTGTCTGTTGGTGAATCAAAGCTCTGCCATACGATTTTATTGCTAGAATCATTGATTACAAGGTTGCCAGTGTCGAGGAGGGAAACAATTGTGTGCTTGCCTGAAGACGTCTTGCTTTCCCATACCATGGAGCCATTGGTATCTGCCAGGACCAGGTTGCCATCCTGGTTCAGCGATATTCTGGAGCCGTGAAGGTTCACCGGGGAATAGTAGCCATTCGCCGCGGAATAGGGATTCGCCGTCCAGACAACCGTTTTCACGGTGGTGTACCAGATCGAGAAGGTGAAAGCATTTGTCCCAACTGGATGGAAGCCGCAGGAGAAGGTGGTGTCTGGTGAGAGGAGAAAGATTCTGTCATGGTCTTCTGGTCTCATATATGAGCCGGTGGTCATGGTATGCCATGGGGAAGCAGAAGCACAAGAGCAAAGGTGGAAGGAGAGAGATGAAAGAAGGGCTAGAAAGAGCAGTGCAGCCATTTTTCTCCTCTCCGGGGAGCTCTGCCTTGGGTATGGATGTGCAGAGATTAGAGAGTGGTAAGGCAGCTTTAAGTTCCAAATGCTTTTCTTTTTAACTAGATAACGATGTGCATTAGCACATAGACCTATTATCTTAGATCCTGACTTGAACTATTGAAAACTAGACTGGGAAGACAAACTTGTCATGCTGGTCCAGAGTGTACACATTGTTTTGCTATAGTTAAGGTATTGGGTTGGTTGGCATGATGTCAACTAATGGAACATTGTGCGTGAAGGATACTGGCAGTTACTATTTACAAATAAGACATACAAAGAGGCTAATGGACCCACACTTGCATAATCCAAAATTAGTACTATTAAACTAATAATTGAATGTGAGACAATGCTGACTAAGTAGACAGTGGTCACTACTAATATAGCAATGTCTTTCGTCAAATCAAAAACCTACCTACTCATGGGACCTCCAATGAGGTTCTTTTTTTTCTTCAACGACCTTATCTGGTTCACACAAGTTTTTTGTCTTCATAAGTTCCAAAAAAAAAGTTTTTCATCTCTATTCCAAGTAAAACCAAGATGCATATGTGCTGGAGCTTTAGATTTTGCACGATTTGTATCTAACTCTGGCGTTCATAATCTTCTTCACACAAGACCAATTCTGTACCCTGTTTTAGTTATTTAACCATAATATAGCAAACTTTTGTGCTTTTCAGTTTCCCTTGAGAAAACTAAACGCCACACACATGTTGTTTGTGTTGAACTATTCTTACTTATTACCATTGTTTGATAAAGTCCATTAGGTGGCAGTTGTTTCAGTATTTGTTATCTTCGTATTGTCGGCCTGATTCATGGTTTTCATTAGGCAGCTGGATAGAATGCCAGAGATACTAGTAGTTATTTACAGTATCTCTACGCATGACTTGTACTCCGTAGTACTAGCTTGATCTTTTCTGAAGTACTCAGTCATCATCGTCCTTTAATTTCCACATCAATGTGTCACCATCTTTACCCTAGTGGGCATCTTAGCAGAACAAGAATCAGCATCTCTCCCTGTTTTCTTTTTTTTCTTTTTCTTTTTTTGCCGTGGAAAAAAAAGGGAACAGGGGAACAACCAGGCAACTGAAATAGTGAACCCATTCTATGCATTTTTGTGAAAACTGTTAAATGAAGAGTGCCTTCCTGTCAAAATGCATATTTGTCAAAGTTACTACTCCAAACTAAAACCACGGCACTTATTTTGGATCAGAGGGAGTAGTAGCTCAGAAAACATATACTCCTGAAAAAGAACCTGCAATAAGTGGTGTTATCTGCACTTCGTGGGATTGCAAAACAATCTGCAGTATAAACACCGGAGCTTGAGGGCAGGTCGACGTCGAGCCAGATTGTCACCGGAGTCAGAGAAGAGGAGGTTTTGGTACAATCTTCTGGGTGTCTCCTGGATCGTTACAGGCTTGATTTATTTATGACCGCCAGTGCACATTCATGTGAACGTTGACCTAGTGACCTGACCTACAAGTATTGGCGTGTCTTTGGTGTATTTGTCTACATTTTTGTTCTCTGTTCGGTGTTTAGTCATCGTGTAAAGCCGGGGCAGTACCCAGTATCAACATACGCTGCTACTCTGAGAAAGGGACGCACCCTGCGTTTTTAGATTTTGATTAGGATGTGCGCATTTTTTTCACACTGCTGTCAGTTAGTTATTGGTCACTTGCTTCCGTGGTTTATTTTTCTGTGTCGTTGGTGTGCACTTGCTTGCTTTCAGAAATAGTCCAAGTAATGCGTTCCGTGGGCCACACAAGACTCAAAGTGTTTGGAATGAGTGAGTACCCTATTTCAGAAATTTTATCATCGACATCGACACCTATAGCTGATCTGGGGTAAATTCCTATTTTTGGAGCTTAAGCGCTGGATACTAATTTCTTTAGATGATTTATTTTATGTAATCAAGTTCACATGGATACAAAGAATGGTGTTCTAAAGGATCAAAGCCAAGAGCCACACATGGCGACTCACCAGAGCAAAGGTGGAAGGAGAGAGATGAAAGAAGAGCCAGAATGAGCAGTGCAGCCATTTTTCTCTACAGGGAGCTCTTCTTTGGGTATTTATGTGCGTGAGATCAGATAGTGGTAAGGCAGCTTTAAGTTCCAAATGCTTTGCATTTTTTTTTTTGCGAAATGCTTTGCTTTTTAATTAGCGATGTGTATTAGCACATAGAGCTATTAGCTTAGATGCTGACTTGAACTATTGAAAACTAGACTGAGAAGTCAAAGTTGTCATGCGGGTCCAGAGTGTACACAATGTTTTGCTATAATTAAGGTATTGGGTTGGTTGGCATGATGTCAACTGATGGAACATTGGGCGTGAAGAGGGCGACCCTATGTTTTGTTCCAGTTACTATTTACAAATAATACATAGAAGGAGGCTATTTTGGATTATGTGTAAATTGAATGGATCCACATTGCATAATCCAAAATTAGTATTAAAGTGCTAATTGATGAGTCAATGCTAACTAATTAGACAGTGGTCACTACTAATATAGCAATGTCTTCCGTCAAATAAGAGAAATCTACACATGGGACCTCCAATGAGTTCTGTTTTTCCACGGGTCTTGTCTGGTTCACACAAGTTTTTCGTCTTCATTCCAGGTAAAATCAAGATGCATATGTGCTGCAGCTTTAGATTGCACGATTTGTATATCTCTCTCTAGCGTTCGTAATCTTCTTCACACAAGACCATTTTCTATCCTGTTTTAGTTATTTAACCATATAGCAAACTATTGTGCTTCTGAATTTCCCTTGAGAAAACTAAACGCCACACACATGTTGTTTGTGCTGAACTATTCTTACCATGAAAATTGCTTGATAAAGTCCGTTAGGTGACGGTTGTTTCAGTATTTATTATCTCCGTATTGTCGGCCTGATTGACAGTATCTCTATGCATGACTTGTCCTAGTAGCTAGTACGTACTGGCTTGATATTTTCTAAAGTACTCGGTCATCATTGCCCTTTAATTTCCATATCGATGTGTCACCATCTTTACCCTAGTGGGCATTTTAGCAAAGCAATAATCAGCATCTTTCCTTGTTTCTTTCTCTCTCTCTCTTTTGGCCTGGAGAAAAAGAAGAAACAGGGGAGCAACCAGGCAACTGAAACAGTGAACCCACTCTATGCATTTTTGTCAAAACTGTGAGTACCTGGAGAGTAATGTCCCGTCAAAAAGGCATATTTTTCAAAGTTACTAGTAGCTTAGAAATTATATACTCCTGAAAAAGAACCTGCAATAACTGGTGTTATCTGCACTTTGCGAGATTGCAAAATAATCTGCAGTATGAACACCGGAGCTTGAGGGCAGGTCGACGTCGAGGCAGAGATAGATTGTCACCGGAGACGGAGAAGAGGAGGCTTTGGTACAATCTTCTGTTACGGGCTTGATTATTTTATGACCGCTGGCGCAAATTCGTGTGAACGTTGATCTGGTGACCTACAAGTATTTTTGTTCTCTGTTCGCCGTGGACTGCATTTAGTCCTAGTGTAAAGCCGGGGGATAGCACCCAGTATCAATATGTGGTGCTACTCCGCGGTTCTAGACTTTGATTAGGATGTGCGCAGTTTTTTTCACACTGATTTCAGTTGGTTATTGGTCACTTGCTTCCGTGTTGGTTCCGTGGTTTATTTTCTGCCTAGTTGGTACGCACTTGCTTGCTTTCAGAGAGTCTAAGTCATGCGTGGGCCACACAAAACTCGATGATTAGGATGAGTAAGTACTACTCTATTTCAGTTTTTTGTCATCGACATCGACACCTATAGCCTATCTAAGGTAAATTCCTATTTTTGGAGCTTATAAGCGCCGGATACTAATTTCTTTAGATGATTTATTTTATCTAATCAAGTTCAGAGGGATACAAAGAATGGTGTTCTAAGGGCATCTCCAACGGCAACCTGTCCGCGGACGGATGCGGGAGGATGACATCCAAACGTAGCCGCATACATCTGGCCTTCCGGTTTTTTTCCCTAGCCCGCACGATCAAGTAGCCGCATGCAAAGTGTACTGACGTTCAAATAGCCGCATGCAACATTAGTACAAATTTTAAAAAGTTCAAATATTACATCCCAACAATATTGTCCCCTTACACCGCACAGTGATGCTTAATCAAATTTTCTTTTAGTTGCTTGTGAGTTGGTCGATACCGAATTTGTTGATGCATTTGAATAAACTACTCAAATGTGGCCAGATTCTGGTCCGAAAGTTGGATAGGATCATCCATGTTCTCAAATTCCAGAGTTGCGGCAACGTCGTCACCCTCATCCTCGACGATCATGTTGTGCATGAACACACAACATTTCATCATCTCTCACAAGATTTCCGGATTGCATTGTTTAGTAGGTCCACGAACAACTTCAAAGCGGGCCTACAGAACTTCAAATGCCCTTCCGACATCCTTTTTAGCCGCTTCTTGCCTTTTGGCAAATTGAGCCTTTTTCTGGCCAACTGGGTTTGAGATGGTGCTGACAAAGTAGCCCGTGGAGGATAGATACCGTTAACTAGATAGTAGCCCATGTTGTACTCATGTCCATTGACAGTATAATGGCAAGGAGGAGCTTTTCCTTCAGCCAGCCTCAAAACAACGGTGATCGTTGCAGCACATTGATGCCATTGTGAGACCCCGACATGCCAAATCCAAAGATCATGTGATGCGACTGCTTCAAGAATGATGGTGGGCTTCTTAACATGACCTTGATATTGCCCTTATAAAGCCTTCGGGCAGTTCTTCCATTTTCAATGTACACAGTCAAGAGATCCAAGCAAGCATGGCCACCATCTTGCTTTTGAGATTGCCAGGAGCCTCTCGGTGTCTGCCATAGTTTGTTCTCTCAGGTACTGAGGTCCGAACACCTCGACCATGGCAGTTGCAAACTTGATCATGGCATCTCCACATGTGCTCTCAGACATCTGTAGGTAATCGTCCCACGAATCAGCGGCCATGCCATATGCAATCATCCGAA